CCCATCTCCACACAGGATCTTTGGAGCTCAGTCAGAGTGACCATCGGGTTCTTGGTCACCTCTCTTACTAAGACCCTTCTCCCCCAATTGCTCAGCTCTTGGAAGAGTCCTGGTTGTGGACTTATTCCATTTGAGAATCTGAATCTAGTATGAAAAGCTGTCTCCTCCTGAATACCTTATGATCACCACAAAGGTCGAACTTGGAAAAGATCTTGGCAAACTGAAGGTTCTGGATGGGATCTGTAACTAACCCGAGCCAGTAGTGGTTCTTGATAGCAACTGTGCTCAGGGCTTGGTATTGCAGGATCGGGATCATAGGGTCCTATCCTTTCGTTGACAAAAGAAATACTGGCTCCTGCCGGGGAAGTAAATGGCCAAATAAACCACTTTGATAAGTTCTCCCTTGAGTGTTACTTGTTCAGGTTCGAGTCGGGGATAAACCCAACCAAACGGCATATTTTCACCAAGAAGGAGTTCGATCAGGCAACCGTAGATACAATGTGGAGGGAGAGAGTGTTAGACCACTTATCATCGAAGACATTGAGGAAATTGCGGTATGCCTTGGAGATGTCCCCTATCTTCTCTGTCAATCGAAGCAGAATTCCTTGGTTGGACTCTCTACCTCAATCTGCTCAGCTGTCCACCTTTAGATGATCCATAGAATCTCTTGTCTTCAGGAACATCTATCCCACCTCTACCTCACAGCTGAATTTTTACTTTCTCCAACAGCTCATCCCCCCCACATCTATTACCTGTTAGGATGTAAGCTCTTACAAGTGATGGCAATAGTCTGAATGGAAAGCAACCTCTTCTGATGACCAATTGATACTAGGATTATGGGTCTACAACTTGGGTTTTCTCAGGATGATCAGGATCAGGGATAAAAGAATCACATTAAAGCACAGAATTCTGCTGGTGACCTAAAGGGATTGTGAATAAGAGGGGGGTGTCTTGTGTCTTGAGCTCAGACTTAATGGTAAAACCACCAGCTAACCAGATGGCAACGCACAACTCTTGAGGCATAGAGGAAAGTCTGATAGGTGAAGAATGCATTGAAGAAGCAAGCACATGTGTCTATTAGTAATATCTTGGACTTCAGCAGCATTTTCAGGCCCCTGCAGAGATGAAGCTAATGAATTATAAGTGAAGCCACCGGCAACAAAGCGAAGCCACCGGCAACAAAGCGAACTGAAAGGTGATGGTGGTTTCCTTATTGGTTGGTCTAACATGACAGTTCAATAGTAAATTACTCAGGACCCCATAGTAGAAGCAGAGACTGGCTTTTTGACACCTCAGGTGCTCCTCAGGAGACAGGGCTGGTGTGGCCCGACCCAGCTGCCTTGGTTCAGGAGCACCAGTGGACTGTGGAAATGCCGGGTTCATTGCCGCTTCAGACAAAGGTAGATGATTTCAGTGAGGCAGTAAACTCCCATCTTCTAATTCTGGCTCCCTGAGATGATCGTTAATCTGGGTAGCTAGCCAAAAGTCAGCTCGCTCACTGAGTACAGGAATCCAACACGAGGTAGCTCATCTTTTAACTGTTCAGAGAAGTCTAGGCAGAACTGGTGGATGACTGTGGTGTCATTCCATTGGGTGGCCATGCTCCATTTCTGCAAGTCAGAAGTATACTCTTCAACCGGCCCCTGGCCCTGACAAAGGTTACATAGAGCAGTCTCAGCAGTAGAAGCTCAATGGGGATTTATCACATACTTGGTGTTAGTGGCCAATGGAGAGAGGGCTTCCCTTGCAGCTAAGTTCCAGACTCCCCTGGAGATGGGACAGAAGGAGTCGGGCCCAAAGTAGCACGGGTCGCCTATAGGAGTTCTGGTCAGAGGTATACCCAGGAGCACAGCTGATGCACTGGAATGGCGTCTGCAGACTGGTGGTGCCCATGAGAGGTAAGCAGGCCTTCAGGGTAGCAGAGGGCCACAGACTAGTCGGTTCAAAGCCAAGGTCAGATGCCGGGTGGAGATTGGAGCAGACATAGTCAATAGGATAGCCGGGGTCATACACAGGAGAGCAGGTCAGAATATCCATTAGCCAAGCCGGGGGAGAGAGCGGGGTCAGAATATCCATTAGCCAAGGTCATACACACAGGAGAGCGGGTGAGAATATCCATTAGCCAAGTCGAGGTCTGATCAGGAGAGCAGGTGAGAATATCCATTAGCCAAGCCGGGTCATACACAGGAGAGCAGGTCAGAATATCCATTAGCCAAGCCGGGTCATACACAGCGGGTCAGAATATCCATTAGCCAAGTCGAGGTCTGATCAGGAGAGCAAGTGAGAATATCCATTAGCCAAGCCGGGTCATACACAGGAGAGCAGGTGAGAATATCCATTAGCCAAGCCGTGTCAGATCAGGAGTCAGACAGAGAAGACAGGTCCAGGAACAAGCAAGTCGGTAACATGAGATTACAGTAGCAAGGAACACAGTCAAAGGTACTGGGGAGCCAGAGATCAACCAGCAATTTGAGGGAGTGATGGGCCTCCTTATAAAGGCCGTCTGGCTCCAAACTGGGCTAGTGCGTGCGTAACTATGCGTGTTCCGGCTCGCGTCCGTGTGCCAATGCACATAGATTTTCACCAGCGTGCATTTCTGCAGCCATGCAAGGTACTGGCAGGAATGCCAGGTCTCCGAGTACCTCTGCTGTGGACAGAGCCCTGTTAAGATTTGTCCTTGAGTTCCCAACGCCTTGAACAGTGAGCCGGAGCCAGCATTATATTACGCGGGGCGTTCACTTTTCATTCTCCAGGTATATAAGGGATGCCGGAGTGGCGGTACTACACGTAGTAGTAAGTGGCAGTGTGTCCTATTACTGATAGGGGCGGGCCAGTCCAGAAACCGTTATTCAAGATGGTGGACAGCGGCGTTGGTGCGTGCGTGGAGCAGCGTGTGGGGATGACGTTTCCTCCTGTGAACGAAGGAGTAAATCCCGCCGATATCTACAGAAGACTTCAAGCGCAGTACGGCGATGAGACGCACAGCACGCAGTAAGACATTTGAATGGTGGAAACATTTCAAAGATGGCCGTCCCTCCGTCAGTGACCAGCCCGGCCGTGGTGGTTCCCGGCCCACAGCAGTCATTCCTGGGAACATTCAGCACGAGGACGTCTGATCCTGGATCATCGATCTTGAAATTGCACAAGAAACAAATCTTTCTGTGGGAACGTGACCAATGAGGAGGTGAAGCCGGATGTCCTAGGATGGTTCAGGCGTACCGACAAATCTTTTCCATGCCAGAGCTTTCCAGGCTGGGAAAGTGTAGAAATGTAGCAGGGGAGGATGTCAGAAAAATAAATGCAGTTCCCACTCCTTTGAAATGTGTTCTTTTATTATAGAAACTCCTCCAAAATCCTGACTTGAACGCCCCTTGTGTTTGGCCACTAGGTAGTGCCGGCATTCTGATATTTGGCCATTGGTTGGCGCTCTACTTATACAGGTCAGACTCTGCAGTGGCAGTTGTTTGTCGGAAGGAAAGTAAATATTTTGCAGAGTTTCTTGCAGGATTTCTTATATTTGCACAGAGATTATCAGCAGACATGTGACCTGCCGCAGTTCCCTCGTACTGGAAAATATCTGTCAAAGGAAGAATTGTTTTCTCCTGTAATCAGCCAATGACAAGCGTTCAGAGGCTGCCAATAAATGGTGTCTGTAGCGCCCTGTGGTGGTCAGTTGGGGGGTCGGCTGTGTCCATCTTCCATAGGGGGTGGATGATCCAAGTGGGGATCTTCTGGGCTTCTGAGATTCATCAGATGCACTGTACACTATATTTTCACGACAGAAGATGTTTGAAACGGCTGCAGTGTGACCTCTGACCTTTGGGCGCCGCTCTATTACTATGGGTATACAGGATTTATATAGCGCCAACAGGGCTCAGCACTTTACAATATATAGCACCCTCCTATGCAGCTAGGGGGAGCTCTAGTTCTAATTGTTAGGAAGGAGGGCTGAGTAGCAGCCTGGGTGTGATAACCAGGTGGGTCAAATTTGGGTCAGAGCTGAGAGGCTCTGCAGGTCACCTCTCTGGAATTTCCTCCTGCTCTAGAACTTTGGAGAAAGGTCTAGAAGCAGTGGGTGGATCTGAGGCGTGGCTGGTCTTTACTCTTAGAAGATCCTGGCCAATCCCTAACAGGAGGCTTGGCAGGAGACCAGGACAAAGCTTTAAGAGTAACTGAGCCTGCTCAGCTGCAGGAGAGTTTGAGTAGAAGAGGATGGAGTGAGGAGCCTGGGAGGGGGCCCAGATAGAAGAGGGGCTCACCTCCAGGTGGGAGGAGCTGGAAAGGCTGAAAGCTTGGAACTTCACTAGCCCTTTGTACACTATATTGTTCCAAGTATTGGGTCTTTCTGCCTTTCCACGCACATGACCTTTAATGGCCTCCCAGTCTTAGTCCGTAGGGTTCAATATTGGGTTGGCCCCGCCCTTTCCACGCACATGACCTTTAATGGCCCCCCAGTCTTAGTCCGTAGGGTTCAATACTGAGTTGGCGCCCCCCTTTTCCACACACATGACCTTTAATGGCCCCCCAGTCTTAGTCCGTAGGGTTCAATATTGAGTTGGCCCCGCCCTTTGCAGCTATAACAGCTTCAACTCTTCTGGGAAGGCCGTCCACAAGGTTTAGGAGGGTGTCTATGGGAAGGTTGGACCATTCTTCCAGAAGCACATTTGTCAGGTCAGGCACTAATGTCGGGGGAGGAGGCCTGGCTCGCAGTCTCCGCTCTAATTCATCCCAAAGGTGTTCTATGGGGTTGAGGTCAGGACTCTGTGCAGGACAGTCAAGTTCCTCCACCCCAAACTGGCTCCTCCATGTCTTTATGGACCTTGCTTTGTGTACTGGTGGGCAGTCATGTTGGAACAGGAAGGGGCCATCCCCAAACTCCTCCCACAAAGTTGGGAGCATGAAATTGTCCAACATGTCGCCTCAAGAGTTTCCTTCCCTGGAACTAGGGGGCCAAGCCCACCCCCTTAGGAACACCCCCACACCAAAATCCCCCCTCCACCAAACTTTACACTTGGCACAATGCAGTCAGGCAAGTACCGTTCTCCTGGCCACCGCCAAACCCAGACACGTCCATTGGATTGCCAGACAGAGAAGTGTGATTGGTCACTCCAGAGAACACGTCTCCATGCTCTAGAGTCCAGTGGCGGCGTGCTTTACACCACGGCATCCGACGCTTTGCATTGCACTTGGTGATGGAAGGCTTGGATGCAGCTGCTCGGCCATGGAAACCCATTCCATGGAGCTCTCTACGCACTGTTGTTGGGCTCATCTGAAGGCCACACCAAGTTTGGAGGTCTTTAGCTATTGACTCTGCAGACAGTTGGCGACTTCTGCGCACTGTGCGCTTCAGCATGCGCTGACCCCGCCCTGTCATGTGACGTGGCCTCCCACTTGGTGGCTGAGTGGCTGTTGTTCCCAGTTGCTTCCACTTTGTTATAATCCCACTAACAGTTGAGCGTGGAATATTTAGTAGCCAGGAAATGTCACGGATGGACTTATTGCCCAGGTGGCCACCTATCACGGGACCACGCTTGGAGTCACTGAGCTCCTGAGAGCGACCCATTCTTTCACCAATGTTTGTAGAAGCAGTCTGCATGCCTAGGGGCTTGATTGTATACACCTGTGTCCATGGAGGGGATTGGAAGACCTGAATCACATGATATGGAGGGGATTGGAAGACCTGAATCACATGATTGGAGGGGATTGGAACACCTGAATCACAAGATATGGAGGGGATTGGAACACCTGAATCACATGATTGGAGGGGATTGGAACACCTGAATCATATGATATAGAGATGATTGGAAAACCTGAATCACATGATCTGGAGGGGATTGGAGAAACCTGAATCACATGATTATTGAGGAGATTGGAGCACCTTAATCACATGATATGGAGGGTATTGGAACACCTGAATCATGTGATTGGGAGGGGATTGGAACACCTGAATCACAAGATATGGAGTGGGGATTGGAACACCTGAATCACATGATTGGAGGGGATTTGTCCAGGCAGTAGGATCACCTGCTGGCTCAGCAAAATCCACAGGCAACTTCACTCTCCCAATAAGACACCAGAAAGTGAATCCAACACATTTGGCTTCTCAGAGTACAGATTTCCAGGCTCTTGAGGTGTACAAAGGCCATAAATCTTCCCAACCAGAACATGGAAGAAGAGGGGGGAGGGTTACACAGATCATCTCTACCGCTGTGCTGCGTTTACATGGCTGCTGAGCTGCACGGGAGGTTGTGGCGTGTCCTAGAAGTGCATTGCCTGCGGCGGCATCCATGGGACATCTGCCTCCTACCCCAGGGTGGCCCAGCAAGGGACAAGAGCCACGTGCCGATAAGTAACATTGTTGCTGGAGTGTCACAGCAGCCTATGACAGACTGATTGGCAGCAGTGATAGACACTAATTGCAAGCACTGATGGACTCTGACTGACATTGATAGGCTGCACTGATGGGCACTGATAGGCAGCATTGATGGGCACTGATGAGGCTTCACTGGTGGGCATTGATAGCTGCACTAATGGGCACTGATGAGGCTGCACTGGTGGCCACTGATGAGGAGGCATTGATGAGGCTGCATTGATTTGCACTGATAGGCAGCACTGATGGACACTGTCAGGTAGCACTGAAGGGCACTGATAGATTGCACTGATAGGTGGCACAGACTGGCAGCAGTGCTGGGAACTGATTGGCAGCACTGATGTACACTGATTTCAAGCACTGATGGACCCTGACTGACATTGATAGGCTGCACTGATGGGCACTGATGAGGCTGCACTGGTGGGCACTGATGAGGAGGCATTGATGAGGCTGCATTGATGAGTACTGATAGGCGGCACTGATGGACACTGATTTCAAGCACTGATGGACCCTGACTGGCATTGATACCATAGATGGTAAGACGTGTTCAGTAAAGACGCCATGTACTGGTGAAGACGCCATGACTGGTGAAGACGCCATGACTGGTGAAGACGTCATGACTGGTGAAGACGCCATGACTGGTGAAGACGCCATGACTGGTGAAGACGTCATGAGGGTGAAGACGCCATGACTGGTGAAGACGCCATGACTGGTGAAGACGTCATGACTGGTGAAGACGTCATGACTGGTGAAGACGCCATGACTGGTGAAGACGTCATGACTGGTGAAGACGCCATGACTGGTGAAGACGCCATGACTGGTGAAGACGTCATGACTGGTGAAGACGTCATGACTGGTGAAGACGCCATGACTGTGAAGACGCCATGACTGGTGAAGACGCCATGACTGGTGAAGACGCCATGACTGGTGAAGACCGCCATGACTGGTGAAGACGCCATGACTGGTGAAGACGTCATGACTGGTAAAGACGCCATGACTGGTGAAGACGCCATGACTGGTGAAGACGTCATGACTGGTGAAGACGTCATGACTGGTGAAGACGCCATGACTGGTGAAGACACCATGACTGGTGAAGACGTCATGACTGGTGAAGACGCCATGACTGGTGAAGACGTCATGACTGGTGAAGACGCCATGACTGGTGAAGACGCCATGACTGGTGAAGACGCTGTGTAGGAGATTTTACAAAAACTTGAGCAGACAGAATCCGGGGCGACTCTGCATGGAAACCAATCAGCTTCCAGGTTTTATTGTCAAAGCTTCATTGAACAAGCTGAAGGTAGAAGCTGATTGGCTCCCGTGTACAGCTGCACCCGATTCTGAGGGCTCCAGTTTTAGGAAATCTTCCTCTATGTATAGCAAAGACTCCGTGTATGGTAAAGATACCATGTATGGAGAGGATGCCATGTATGGAGAGGATGCCATGTATGGAGAATATGCCATGTATGGGAGAGGATGACATGTATGGAGAGGATGCCATGTATGGAGAAGATGCCATGTATGGAGAGGATGACATGTATGGAGAAGATGCCATGTATGGAGAGGATGCCATGTATGGAGAGGATGACATGTATGGAGAAGATGCCATGTATGGAGAAGATGCCATGTATGGTAAAGATACCGTGTATGGAGAAGATACCATGTATGGAGAGGATACCATGTATGGAGAAGATGCCATGTATGGAGAAGATACCATGTATGGAGAGGATGCCATGTATGGAGAATATGCCATGTATGGAGAAGATGCCATGTGTGGAGAAGATGCCATGTGTGGAGAAAATGCCATGTATGGAGAATATGCCATGTATGGAGAAGATGCCATGTGTGGAGAAGATGCCATGTGTGGAGAAAATGCCATGTATGGAGAATATGCCATGTATGGAGAAGATGCCATGTGTAGAGAAGATACCATCTGTGGAGAAGATACCATGTGTGGAGAATATGCCATGTGTGGAGAAGATGCCATGTGTGGAGAAGATGCCATGTATGGAGAAGATACCATGTATGGTGAAGATACCATGTATGGAGAAGATATCATGTATGGAGAAGATGCCATGTATGGATAAGATGCCATGTGTGGAGAAGATACCATGTGTGGAGAAGATACCATGTGTGGAGAAGATACCATGTATGGAGAAGATACCACGTATGGAGAAGATGCCATGTATGGAAAATATTCCATGTGTGCAGAAGATGCCATGTATGGAGAAGATGCCATGTATGGAGAAGATACCATGTATGGTGAAGATACCATGTATGGAGAAGATACCATGTATGGCGAAGATACCATGTATGGAGGAGATACCATGTGTGGAGAGGCCATGTATGGAGAGGATGCCATGTATGGAGAGGATGCCATGTATGGAAAAGATACCATGTATGGAGAAGATACCATGTATGGTGAAGATACCATGTATGGAGAAGATGCCATGTATGGAGAGGCCATGTATGGAGAGGATGCCATGTATGGAGAGGATGCCATGTATGGAAAAGATACCATGTATGGAGAAGATGCCATGTATGGAGAGGCCATGTATGGAGAGGATGCCATGTATGGAGAGGATGCCATGTATGGAAAAGATACCATGTATGGAGAAGATACCATGTATGGAGAAGATACCATGTATGAAGAGAATGCCATGTATGGTGAAGATACCATGTATGGAGAAGATACCAGGTATGGAGAGGATGCCATGTATGGTGAAGATACCATGTATGGAGAAGATGCCATGTATGGCAAAGATGCCATGTATGGAAAAGCCATGTATGGTACAGGGACTTAGTTGGGTAAAGGTGCCATGTATGGTAAAGGGACTTTGTTTGGTGAAGGTGCCATGTATGGTAAAGGGACTTTGGTGAAGGCGCCATGTATGGTACAGGGACTTTGTTTGGTGAAGGCGCCATGTATGGTACAGGGACTTTGGTGAAGGCGCCATGTATGGTACAGGGACTTTGTTTGGTGAAGGCGCCATGTATGGTACAGGGACTTTGGTGAAGGCGCCATGTATGGTACAGGGACTTTGTTTGGTGAAGGCGCCATGTATGGTAAAGGGACTTAGTTTGGTGAAGGCGCCATGTATAATACAGGACATTGGTGAAGGCGCCATGTATGGTAAAGGGACTTTGGTGAAGGCGCCATGTATGGTACAGGGGACTTTGTTTGGTGAAGGCGCCATGTATGGTAAAGGGACTTAGTTTGGTGAAGGTGCCATGTATGGTAAAGGGACTTTGTTTGGTGAAGGCGCCATGTATGGTAAAGCGTTGCGGCTTCATTATGAGCCAAAATTACCAACATTTCAGTCCTGGTCCGCAGAAACACAGTTGACCCCACCCACTGACCACCTCAAACCCAGCCAGTGACCAGGCAGTGCCATCCCCTACTACCGTTATGTAGGTGTTGCCCACCTGTGACCCACCGATGATACATGGAATGCTATCCAGTTGAGCTCCACCCAAAGCTCCATCTTCTGCTCTGGGTGGAGACATTCCTCCTCTGCAGTCACTGGACTCACTAAACAAATGTTTACCCAACGTGTGTGCCGAGATCCTGCGCCGGAGGAACCTTCCCATATCCTGGCAGTGCAGGGGTGACCACCTCAATCATCCAATCACAGGAGCCCCCTGCGTTCTCTTACTGTGAATGTGATTGGCTACTTGGAGGTGAGTAAACGTATCACTCCGACTTCAGGTGTAAGCAAGTCAGAAATGACGGTTGCAATTAAAGGAGCACTCCACCCAGAACTGAAAAAATTGAGGCCCCGGAGGAGCCGCCTGCATCTCATTCTGACCATCCCGATGTTTAAAGCCAAACTCCGCCATACATAAAATAAATAAAATATCTGCGATGGGAAACCGACTCAGACACGGGGGAGGGGGAGAGAACTTCTCACAATGTTTTCATCATCTCTTTCTTGTTCTGGTGACAACCGCAAAATCCATTTCCTGTACTGGTGTCACGGGGACAGGAAATAAAGGGAACCTTGTCTGCGCTTAAAAGTGATGTCACGCGCCCTCAGCGGCTGATTGAACACCTTACTGAGTATGCAGCTTCTGCATCACATGACCTCCACCCCACGGTTTCCCCCCGGTCACATGACCCCCCCCACGTCCCCCCCCCCCCCCCCCGGTCACATGACCTCCACCCCACATTTTCCGGTCCCAGGGGTGGCTCCTTTCTTTTGCAGTGTCCTATGAAATCCCCTTGAATACAGGGACTAGGGCTGTGTCTCCCTGCACTGTGGGCATCAATAGAAACACACAGAAACATAGCCTAGGACAG